CTGTCGAGATGTATGTGACAGGCAAAGTGCAATCACCTATCAATATTGCACTTTGCCTGTCAAAAGTTCTTCGCAATCTCTTGAGGTGTGAGGAAGTTTCTCGACAGAGGAAACTTTCATATCGAATGCCTCTGTCGAGATGTATGTGACAGGCAAAGTGCAATCCCCTATCAATATTGCACTTTGCCTGTCAAAAGTTCTTTCGCATCTCTTGAGGTGTGAGGAAGTTTCTCGACAGAGGAAACTTTCATATCGAATGTTGCCTCTGTCCGAGATGTATGTGACAGGCAAAGTGGCAATCACTATCAATATTGCACTTTGCTGTCAAAAGTTCTTCGCATCTCTTGAGGTGTGAGGAAGTTTCTCGACAGAGGAAACTTTCATATGAATGTTGCCTCTGTCGAGATGTATGTGAAGGCAAAGTGCAATCACCTATCATATTGCACTTTGCCTGTCAAAAGTTCTTCGCATCTCTTGAGGTGTGAGGAAGTTTCTCGACAGAGGAAACTTTCATATCGAATGTTGCCTCTGTCGAGATGTATGTGACAGGCAAAGTGCAATCACCTATCAATATTGCACTTTGCCTGTCAAAAGTTCTTCGCATCTCTTTGAGGTGTGAGGAAGTTTCTCGACAGAGGAAACTTTCATATCGAATGTTGCCTCTGTCGAGATGTATGTGACAGGCAAAGTGCAATCACCTATCAATATTGCACTTTGCCTGTCAAAAGTTCTTCGCATCTCTTGAGGTGTGAGGAAGTTTCTCGACAGAGGAAACTTTCATATCGAATGTTGCCTCTGTCGAGATGTATGTGACAGGCAAAGTGCAATCACCTATCAATATTGCACTTTGCCTGTCAAAAGTTCTTCGCATCTCTTGAGGTGTGAGGAAGTTTCTCGACAGAGGAAACTTTCATATCGAATGTTGCCTCTGTCGAGATGTATGTGACAGGCAAAGTGCAATCACCTATCAATATTGCACTTTGCCTGTCAAAAGTTCTTCGCATCTCTTGAGGTGTGAGGAAGTTTCTCGACAGAGGAAAACTTTCATATCGAATGTTTGCCTCTGTCGAGATGTATGTGACAGGCAAAGTGCAATCACCTATCAATATTGCACTTTGCCTGTCAAAAGTTCTTCGCATCTCTTGAGGGTGAGGAAGTTTCATATTACAATTAAAATTACGATTTATATTTTTATTAACCATTAAACAAAATTCATTTAATTCTTCATTAAAATTTCAAATTGTATTTAATTTTTTAAATTTTCATTTTGCAAAATCCCTGTTTGATTCTTATTCTATATCTCACTTGCATTTAATCCAAATGCTAATTACATTTCAATTAAACATTATCTTCATATACCTTTTCACTTCTTCAAATTTAATTAATTTCTCTAACTTCTTTTTTCAATAAATGTCGGCATTGGAGGATAATCAATAAAGTTTATTTCTTCCCTGTCCCATTTATAATAACATATTTTGCATTTTTAACAATTTTGATTGTAATTTTCATTTCTTCATCTTCAAAATCATAGTTTTTAATGCAATACATATAATTATACCATTTTATGATAAGAGAAAAAACCTTTTCTCCTTCATCTCGATTTAATTTTTCGCATAATTCTTCCAGATTTTCAATTGTAATATAATAAAAAAAAAAAAAAAAAAAAAAAAAAAAAAAAAAAAAAAAAAAAAAAAAAAAAAAAAAAAAAAAAAAAAAAAAAAAAAAAAAAAAAAGGTAGTGGGGCTTCCAGGCACTTCGTGCCCTCTAGCCCCCCGTCACTTTTCTGTCACTTTTCAGGAAAAAACATTTTTATTATATATATAAAATGAATTTTACAAAACCACCGTTACCCTTCTTTGGAAATAAGAGTAGATGTAAAGATATTCTATTGAGAGAACTTAAGAAACTACCGAATGGTCTAACATTTGTAGATTTGTTCGGTGGAAGTTTCTATATATCCCATCTGTGCCATACCGTATTCCCAGACTCAAAGATTATATGCAATGACTTCGACAACTATATGAACCGTCTCAAACATATACCAGACACAAACAAAATATTGAGTGAGTTGAAAGAAAAGATACCTATAGGTAAGATGGAACGTATACCATTAGATAAGAAAAATACTGTCAGAGAGGTTTTGAAAAAGGCAGAGTATATTGACTGGGATAGTATATCTTCTAGACTATTATATAGTGGTTCTATAAGAGTTCATGACATTGAAACACTTATGTCAAACGTTTTATATCTTAACTATACAAAGGTTTTCAAAGAGAACATAGAAAAATATACTGAGGGTATAGAGTTTGTGAGATGTCATTGGACAGAGTTGTATGAAAAATATAAAAACAAGGAAAATGTTTTCTTTATAGTAGACCCGCCGTTCTAATAACACATACGATTTTCATACCAAGTAGACTGGACTTTGAGAGACTCTTTAGAAACTTTAGACGTTTTACATAACCATCCATGCTTTTTACTTTAACATCCGATAAAAGTGGTTTGGAAAGTGTCATGAGATGGTTAGAGGACATACATACTATGAGTTTAGATACGATAAGATAGAATATGAGAGAGGTCCTATAAACCGGAAAAAAGTGTCACAACAAAGAAATTTTACTAGTAAGTAAATGTGGTTTGAAATAGGACTACTTGTTTTAGGTTTTTTCCATTGTGTCATTTACTTATTTGACGTGGCAGAAAGATATAGAGAAATATGAAGATGAACCAAATGCCTGCAAATGTCCAGTATATGTACTCGTAAGAGATATTTTTATCTAATATTAAATGGACGCACAGAACTTAGCGAATGCACAGCAACCTGGACAACCAAACCCAGAGAATATTCCAAATGAAGTTAGAATACAACTGCAATGGCAAACTATGGTCAAGTGCCAACATGTACAAATGCAAACTGCCATGTCAAATGACGCTGCGTTAGGTTTGCCACATGGTATGCAAATATGAGATGGAAAAGAGTTTTATACAACCCTGAAGTGGGATATAAACAACTCTAATGCAGATGACGCGAACACAGGAGTTGACCCAGAGTATGTTTTCTACCAGAGGAGAAATAGAATGTATGAGCTCCAGTTAAAGAATGCTATGGAACTCAACAGGAAACGTAAGAGACTAGGCGGACATTAGATTTTTACATATAGTAAAATGGGTTTCTTCAGTAGTATTGGA